TCCTTCTTTGCTTGACACTTAATACCCATTCTGTGAATCCCTGCAGCAAATCTTTATTGTATTTTAAAAGTTATTATTGTGCCTTTATCTTGAAGGTAAGTACCAGACTTAACAGCTGTGATATGAAAATAATGGTACAATTTTTTTTGTAATCCTGATTTGTTTTGAGCACTGTCTTCTTGTAGGCTGTGGCGCCTACAGTTGTGTGATTTGTCCAAGATTTTGGTGGGAAAACTCACTTTGGAGGAGTATTACGCTTTGTCTTTCTTGTGTTATTGTTCTACAATCATGTTGCCTTTCTCCATCAATCTTATTTCATAAGATTTATATTTCTATCAATCTGACCCAAGATGCTTTGTAGCTTCTTCACAGTGCCTATAACTTGATATGTTTGCTATATCCTTTTAATACATATTGCTGCCAAAGATATTCATTCAACTGGTCTGATATGCAAAGTAGGGTTTTCAGATCTCTCTAATTGCTTGTAGGATGTTTCATAATATGCATCTAACACATTTTACTATTTATATTAACTATATCTTTTGCTAAAAGTGAACATGCTGACATGTTCAAGATTGCTTCAGTGTTCCTCATACAGATTTTGCACATATTTTGTCAAATACATTTGGACGTCTTGGGTTTTCAAGTAAGCAAACCAACATCTACAAATAGCTATAATTTTATATAACCTTTTTTTATTTCTATACTGATAATATCTCTTACAGTCTAAGTGCAACAGCTAATATGTATTGCACTTTAAAAGTATATAGCTTAATTCTGAAATTTTGTAGGATTTTCCAGTTAAATTCTGCTGGTTTTTATTTCATTTCATTGTGTCAGGAATCACACTTTGTGTGATTTTTTTAATTATTATTTGTATGATTTGTTATGTGGCCAAGAACATGATCTATCTTCACAAGTTTTCCATGTGTACTTATAAATAAGGTGCTTTTAGATGGTCAGATGGAGTAATTATGCATATTTTTATAATGATAGAAATGAGTTCAGTTGTATTACTTTTCTTTTTATGCATCTATTGAAATAATCATGTTTAATTTGTCTCCTTATCTTTTAATATGGTCAATTATATTGTTTGCTCACCATGTTAAATTCACCCAGTATTTCTGAGATGATCCCTAATTATCTAGTTAGAGATCTAGCTAGTTTTTTTTCACACTTAACTCAACATGTAAAAAACTTTCTTTGATGTTAATTGAAAATATATCAGATATTTATTTACCTACATTACAAATTCTAATTGAAAAATGTATTTAATCTCATTAATAGCTTAGAGAAATATATTTTTTCCTTTTGTGTTTTATGGCATCATACATTTACTCTAAATTTAAATTTTTGGCAATTGATGAATAGATATATATGTAAATAATTTCTAGTTTACTTTAGGCTCAGGAAAAAATACGGTTTAAGTCCATGGTCTTGTTTTTGTGAAAAATCCTACTACATTTTGTTCATAATTTTCAAGAGTTATATTCAATTTATCTGGGGTTGGATTTTAGAAGTGCAACATTTTGTAATTATTTTTGTGGGTGTGTGTTTCTGTGTGTTCAGCATATGGACATCTTGAGAAACAGTAATTTGTATATGATCTCCTGCTTGTCATCTGGGCTGCTACTACATTTGGAAATGTATGTATTATACAAAATCACATTAGAATGGTTTCTTTTAGGCACCTAAGTCTACCCTGCCACTTTTTATTAAGTTTGCCACAGTTGAGAAGGTGCTCAGTTAAAATCTATTTAATCTCACCGTATGCCAATTTTTTTTATATTAAGGAGTTAGTCATGTAACCTGAGCAGAAATGACAAGTATAATTGTCAAGTTATACAATAAATTATCTTGACACACTATACATATTGTTTTGCATGTGATAAATTGCACATTGTGCTATAGTATAAAGTGCATAGATTTCAGGGATATATCTATTTTCAAATGATGCTTCACTACTGAACAGCATTATGAACTTGGATAAATTTATTACAGTTTGCTTATATGTTAAAAATCATATTTACATCATAAAAATAATTATCTGAATAATACAAATTTTGTTAAGATATATTATTTTGAAAATTAAATGCAATCACATATGCTTCCCCTGAATGTTCTTCATTTTTCATTGAAGTAGAGTAGATTTCTACTGCTTATTTTTTTTTTTTTGAGACAGGGTCTCACTCTGTCACACCTGGGCTAGGGTGCCATGGCTGTCACACCTGGGTGAGAGTGCCATGGCATTATCACAGCTCACTGCAACCTCAAACTCCCGGGCTCAAGTGAGTAGCTGAGTCCCTGAGTAGCTGCAACTACAGGCTAACCACCATGCCCATCCACTATTGCTTATTTAGGAGACAAATTTACTCTACATATAATTTCATCCAGGTACATATTATTTAAAAAATTTTATAACATGTTTTTGAGACATTTAAAAAAAAACAGTTTCTATAAGAATGCTCTTGACTAAAGGTGCTAGTGTTTCCCAAGATGTAATTCACAAAGTGCTGAGTTAATATTAGGTTTAAAAAAATTAAATTTACCATTTATTTGGGGATTTCTTTTAGACACATTAGCAAAAGGAAGCAGTAGATTAACTAGGTCATCAGGGAACTTCCTGCCTTGTGTATATGAGTACTCTATCTTTTTGGTCCTTAGTCTTTGTGTTGCTGTGTTGTCATGGTGAAGTCATCATCCCGCTGCAGACCCTGAAACCAAATGCCATACCCTTCTTTTTCAAAAGTGTGTCTTCTACTTAAAACAAACTGTACTCTTGTCACATGGCACTTTGATACATGACTAAATTTTTTTTTGAGAATGGTTAACATTGTTTTGCTTAGCTAAAATATTTGCATGTTACCAGAAAACTCTATTTATTTAACCCTAAAGTGTGACCAGTGAGACAGATCAATGACTAAAAACATTGAGATACAGAGATATATAGATATTATGTAGATAGAATATCCTTTCTTTCCCTGAAATCAAATTCTTTGAGTTCTTTGAGTATTGGGTGGTACCCTTTCAAGTGTTTCTTGTTTATGGATATGAAAGAAGTATCAAACCAGTACCTGATTATTTCAGTGCAAATTAATCATATTAATTAATGGAAGTTGTAATTTGATTCCCTTTACCTATATTGTTCTCAAAAATATAATAATTATATAACTGGTTATTATATTTACAGTCATTAAAATAGCTCTTGTTTATATTTATTTGCAGTTTCAGGCTCAAATGTGACTCATACTCTTAGAATTGTTTTCCTTGACCTTATTTATAATATATGTGTATTTGGGTGTGTTTGAAATAAAGTTCCTATATTCAACACATTTATGGACCATTTTAACATTAGAGAATCTTTCAAAATTTTCTGTCATTGGAAAATTTTAAAGTACCTAGCAATTAATCAATGTACTTCCTGTTCTACATGAAAGATAATACCAATTTTTAATCTGTTGGGACTACTGAGATTGTCTTAATGCGGTGAAATTAGTTGGAATTAATTAATATCAAGCTGTTAAATATTTACATAAATGTCTTTTGACTTTTCTGCCCTAACACATTTAGATTTCAGTCTATATTCCTTTTACCCTTCAACCTTTCATATTTCATTTTAGTTCTTCTTTGCTTCAACAGTCAACTCATGTGTTCTAACTTAATTATTTGTATCACAGGGATGCAATCTTGTGCTTTGACAACCTTTATGATTTTTCATCAAAATTGTCCATAATTATTAATTACTATTTATTAATTACTTTTTATTAATGTATTAATTTCACTATCCTTGGTGTTATTATGACACATATTTTCTTATTTGACATATACTTGGAAGTATGTATTACTATGAGCAGCAAATTTCATCAGGATCCATTTGTCACCTAAGATATAATTATAAAAATAATGAAAATATATTATGAATTATGATAAGCATTTTGATAAGAATAAATTGTACATTAAAATGATAACACTGAATAAGTAGTTAATCCCTTAATAATATACTATCTTTAAAGCATATACACTAGGGATTCATCATCAAAGATAAAATGATTTTAAAAATATAAGCAATGCCCTAGATAATGCAGGAGACAGTGGTATATTTTCTCAGGATCTTGGATATCCTTATAAGAGTTTCTCTGTTTTGGTTGATTGTATATGTTTGTAGTTGTATATTTGAAATAATGAAGTCAAGCTATAAAAATAGGCAATGTGTGGAATTGTAAATCTCTACTGCCTTACTTTTTTTTTCTTCCAATAGAGTTAAACTTCACTTTGCATCAAACTCTTGCAATCTAGCTATCTTTATCATTCACCTTTTGCACAAATAAAATTGACTCATAAAATGACAGAACAGTTTGTTTCTCAGTGAGCAGATGTGGGCATACATTACATGGCATTCCATCTGTGACGATCATATATCTCTATGGCTCATAAAAAATCATTGGTTCTCCTAAAGAAATATTTACTAGTTGAATATTCTCCACCAAGAATCCAGAGCTGAGCTAAATAAAATCACTTCCTTAAACACAATGCTTAGGGATCTTTTTAAGGCACTGCAGTCTGGTGTGGAAAGGAACACGGAGTGTTTCTTGCTGGACATGCAGGGGTTTACTGGGGCACCATGGGTGTCTTATGCGTATGCTGTTCTATTTTAATTAATACATAAAATAAATATTACAGAATGATACACATATATGTACATCTATTTAATATAAAATCTGTCAGATAGAAAATTTGAAAAGAATGTTTGTAAAACAAAATGTAAAGTGGAGTAAAAACTGCATTGAGTAAGGACAAAAGACTAAAAAGAAAATGCTTTCAAACCAAGACCAAAGAAAATGGGTTTACTGAAATCTGCAAAAAATTTATCTCATGAGTATGTGAGTCACCTGCCTAGGAAAATAAGTTGTTGTATTGAAAAAAGAACACTGCTGAAGGGGGATCAAATGAATAGAACAAAAACTATGGAAAAAAGTTTTAAATCTTTAAACAACACTTACTTTATTCAAATGAGTCTCCATAGTTGCTGAGAAAAATCCTAGTGTTGAATAAATGTCTGATGAATTCAAAAAGAAGAAAAAACACAAGAGTTAAAAGTCAACTTCTGTGTGGCAAATTAGCCATAAAATTATCTGACCTCTTTAGTAGAGATAAAATCCTATGCACAGAGATAATACGTGTATTATTTATCTATTGCTACATTACACATTGTCTCAAAATTTAATGTCTTAAAACATTACACCATTTTCACTTCTCAGTTTCAGTGATTCAAAATCTATAAACGATTTTGCTGGGTGTCTTTAAATCTAGTTCATGTTCTCTCATGAGGCTGAAATTAAGATGTTAACAGTGCTGAGCCTGAAGGCTTAACTGAGTAAGGATCTGGCTTCCATCTCACTTACATGATTGGTAGCAAGACTGAATTCTTCAAGGACCATTTGGCAGAGGGCTTTGGTTTCTTACTGCATATTGGTTGTAGATTTTCCTTAGTTTCTTGACACCTAGTCTTCTTCAACATGGCCACTTACTTCATCAAAGATAATAAGCAACAAAAAGAAAAGACTGCTATCAAGAAGGAAATCATAATCTTTGTAACCTAATCAGTGAAGTGGCATCTCAACATTGCTGCATTCTACTGATTAGAAGCAAGTTACTTAATGGAAAATAATTGCTTAAGGCAGAAAATATCTGAGGTTCGAAATCATGTGAGGTCTTAGAGCCTGACTGCCACAATAGCAAAAGCCATATATTTACAGGTGGCCAGGGATTAATTGTTGACATAGTTATACCTGCTGCCTTCCTCTTGCCCAAGCCTCTGCTTCTTGTTAATTTACCAGAATTTGGGAGACACTTGAAGAAAAAATTCAAATTAGTCAATTATTAGCCCTAATAGAGTGCTTAGGGAGAAACTGAATTCTATTTACATAATAAAAAATTTGTTAAGGACAAAGATTATGACTTCTATATACCTTGCTATCCTATCCAGTAATTTATAGCAATGTTTATAGTTAATATTATGCACCCTAATGGAATGACTCAAGGTTTAGATATTACATGTAGATTTGATTTTTCTTTTTAATTCTTTTTTTCACAAATGCATTAGAAATGAATAGAAAGATTCTCCTCTAAAATCTGGAAAAAGACAAAGATGTCCACTTTCACAAGATCTGTTCAACATAGTACTAGAAATCCTATCCAGAGGAAAAAAAAAAAAAAAGAAAGAAATCCTATCCAGAAAAATTAGGCAAGAAAAAGAAAGGACATCCAAACTGGAAAGAAGGAAGTTAAATTGTCCTTGTTTGGATATGAAAGAATCCTATAAATAGAAAACCCTATAAAAAATTTTAGAGCTGACAAATGAATTCAGTAAAGTTGCAGACAAATCAACATACAAAACGTCAGTGGCATTTGTATACAAAGCAAACTATTTGAAAAAGAAATCAAGAACTCAAGCTCATTTACAATAGCTACAAAAAATATATTGATGAGTAAATTTAATGAAAGAGGTGAAAACTCTCTACAAGGAGTACTATAAAATATTGATTAAATAAATTGAAGAGGACACTGATAAATTAAAATATATCCCATGGTCATGAATTAGAATAATTAATATGTCAACACATCTATACTCCCCAAACCAAACCACTCTAGATATTCAATACAATCCCTAGCAAAATATCAATGACATTGTTCACAGATATGGAAAAAAAAATTACTAAAATTTGTATAGAATCACAAAAGCCCCAAGTAACCAATGCAGTCTTGAGAGAAAAAAAAAAAAAATCCACAGGTGGAGGCATTACACTACCTGACTTCAAAATATACTACAAAGCCATAGTAACCAAAACATCATGGAATTGGAAAAAAAAAATACATAGACCAATGAAAAACAATAGCAAACCCAAAAGTAAATCAATGCATTTACAGCCAATTGATTTCCACAAAGGGGCCAAGAACACACATTGAAGGAAGTACAGATTCTTTAATAAGGAGGGCTGGGAAAACTGAATATCCACATGCAGAAGAATGAAACTAGACCCCTGTGTCTCATCATTTACAAAATGAATTCAAAATTAATTAAAGACTTAAATGTAGGACCCCAAACTATGAAACTACCAGATAATGACATATAGGAAAACTTCATGACATTGATCTGGGCAAGAATTTTTAAAATAATACTGCAAAAGAACAGGCAGCAAAAGCAGACAAATAGGATTACATCAAAATAAAAAATATTTTACACAACAAAGGAAATAATTAATAGGGTAAAATGACAACCTACAGAATGGGAGAAAATATTTACAAACTATGCATCTGACAAGGGATTAATATAGAGAATATAGAGGGAACTTAAGCACTCAATAGCAAAAAAACCCAAATAATCTGATTTTAAAAAATGAGCAAAGGATCTGAATAAACATTTCTCAAAAGAAGACATACAAGTGGCCAAAAGATACATGAAAAATTGCTTAACATCACTAATCATCAAGGAAATATAAATCAAACTATAAGAAGATATCATCTTGCCCAAGTTAGAAAGGCTTTTATCAAAAAGACAAAAAAATAACAAATGTTAGTGAGGATGTGGAGAAAGGGGAAGTCTTATGTATTATTGGTGGGCATGTAAATTTGTCATAGCCATTATGGGCAACAGCATGGAAGGTCCTCAAAAAATACAACTATCATATGACCCAACAATCCTACCACAGGGTATATATCCAAATAAAATGAAATTAGTATACCAAAGAGATATCAGTACCTCTGTGTTTATTGCAGCACTATTTACAGTAACCAAGATATGGAATCAACCTAAGTGTCCATCAACAGATAAACAAATAAAGAAAATATGGTACATATACACAATAGAATATTATTCAGCAATAAAAATGAAGGAAATTCTGCCATTTGCAACAACATGGATGAACCTAGAGGACATTATGTTGCATGAAATAAGCCAAACACAAAGGATGAATACCTCATGATCTCACTCATGTGAAATCTAACGAAGTTGAGCTTATAAAATTAGAGAGTAGAACAGTAATTACCATTGGTTGGAAAGAGAGGGAAGAGTGGAGGATTGGGAGAGTTGGGTTATCAGGTACAAAGTTATAGTTAGAGAGGAGAAATAAGTTTCAGTGTTCTACTGAACAGTTCAGTGACTCTAGTCAACAATAATGTATACCTCGAAATAGCTAGAAAAGAAGATTCTGAAAGTTTTCACCACCCAGAAATGACAAGTGTTTGAGGTGAAAAATATACTAAATACTATGATTTGACTATTATGCAATGTATACATGTATCAAAACATCACATTGTACTCCACAAATATATACAAATATTATGTGTCAATTAAAAATAATATAAAACTTATTTTAAAAATCTCTTTCTGGTTCTCTCTCTCTCTCTCTCTTCCTCTCTCTCTTTCTCTTTCTTTCATAGAGTTAGATTCATGTGAGTTGAGTTCATTTGTGATAGAACTGTAATCACAGTATATTTGAGAATATATCCCTATTCTGGATGCTCTTACGTTCTAGCCACTTGGCTTTATCCTTATTTCACCGATGGATAAAATGATATTTGTAAAGTTTTAGCCACTTGCCCAAGATCAGAATACTAGCTAGGGATAGTGTCAGTGAGGTCTTAAGCTCATGTCCAAATGACTACCAGGTAGTGTCTTTTGTCATTACCCCAGTAATTCTCAAAGATGACCACTCATTAGAATTACATGTCATGCTTTTTGCCTGTTTGTTTTATTTTTTAAAATACAGATTCCTGACCATTATCTAGAAATTCCAAAAGAACAGCTATGATGCAGAGAGTGAGCATCTATAATATATAGTTTTTATTTTACTACAATCTACTAATATTCAGCTGGACTTAAGCTCTATAATTCTACGAGCTCTCTTTAAATTGTACTGTATGGCTTCACTTTGTCCTATGATAAACCAACTATCAAAATGAATCATTCTGTAAATCATCTGCACCATATATTTTTGCTAATCACCGACTATGGGAGAATAGAGCTGGTGGATCTGACTTACCAATTGGAACAAAAATTAAACAGTCCATAATATAATAGACTATCTTGTGTATTTTTTCCCAACTTTGACTTTTCTGAACTTGGGATTTAGAGTGGCTGGCCTTATTCTAGAACTTTGTGTGCCATAATTAGCCCATCAGCCAAAGTGCACTATGGAGATTGGGGTGATTTTGATTCTGCAGGTAGTTGTTAAATTCTAAGATAGATGGGCTACATAAGACCCTTTCATACAAACCCTCTGCAACAATGAGCCCAATTTCCACAATTCTTTCATTCATGTATCCCTATTGGATATAAATACAATGCTAATAAATCAGTGACAATAATCTGCCATAAATTCTCTGTTTCTCCAAGCCAATTAAGTTAATATAACTCTAAGCTTTCCCACAGCTTTCCCACAGTTAGCAAAAGGGTTCTGATGTAGGAGAATGGTAGCATGGAGATTATAGGTATCTGAAAGTGGATCTGAAAAAGAGTTAAGGAACTACATGAAGAGAGAAATTTACCCTTCTTTTCATGTGCTCTTGATTTGCTATCTCTTGGAGAAAATTGGGATTATAGTGTACTTTTAAAAATCAATGAAAAAAGGATTAGGAGAATTTAAATTTTAAAATTTTGTTAAATTAAGAAGGAATTTATAAGGGCTGGTAAAATAAAAGCCTAAGGATAATTTCAATGAGAGTAACTGCTGTCAAAAATTAGGAGAGTAAAAATATGCTAGAATGACTCTTAGGAAGGATGGCTTAGATAAAAATCTGTATCTATCTCCCTGAAGCAAAATTTCTTACACTAAATAAAATCTAAAGCAGAGAAAAAGTTGGGACCTTGCCAAGATTTTTTTTGTTCGGCTCAAGTCAGTATGCATGCAGCAGCATATTGTAGGGAACATTTTGACTTGCTTAAGAATTATGAGAGCAGACAATCCGTGGAAGATGTGGGAGGACTGACTAAGGGAAGATGGCAGCAAAACACTAGGGAAAACATAAGCCACAGAGAACCTTTGAAGCAATTACTTA